ATGTCTTCTTTGATGAGGTGTCAGGTAAAATCTTTGGCCCGTTTTTTAATCGGGTTATTTTCTTATTGTTGAGTTTTAAGAGTTCTTATATATTTTGGGTAACATTCCTTTCTCCCAGTCTATAGCTTTTTTCATTCTCTTGACATTTGTCTTTTGTAGAAAAGAAATTTTAATTTTAATGAAACCTGACTTATCAATTCTCTCTCTCATGCATCATGCCATGGGTGCTATATCTTAAAAGCCATTGCCATAGTTAAGTTCTAGGCTTTCTTTATTTGTTACCTTTAAGGAGTTTCATAGTTTTGTATCTTATACATAGGTTTGATCTATTGGAGTTCATTTTTGTGAAGGTATTAAGGTTAGTGTCTAGATTCATTTTTCACATGTGGATGTCCAGTTGTTCCCGCACCTTTTGTTGAAAAGACCAGCTTTGTTCCATTGTATTGCTTTGCTCCTTTAAAAAAAATCACTTTTACTATATGTACCGGGATCTATTTCTGGGCTCTGTATTCTGTTCCATTGATCTATTTGTCTATTCTTCCAACAATGCTATACTCTCTTGATTACTGTAGCTTTATAATAAGTTTGAAGTTGGGTCTTCCAACCCTGTTCTCCTTCAATATTGTGTTAGCTATTCTGGTTCTTTTGCTTCTCCATATAAACTTTTAAAACAGGTTGTCAATATCTACAAAATAACTTGCTGTGATGTTTTTTTTAATCCTCACCCAATGATATTTTTCCCATTGATTTTTTTTTTTAGAGAGAGAGTAGAAGGGAGGGGGGACATCAAGAGAGAGAGACACATAATCATGTCACCTGTGAACAAAAACAGTTTATCTTCTTTTCCAATAAGTATACTTTTTGTTCCCTTTTCTTATTTTATTGCATTAGCTCAAGCTTCCAGTATAATGCTGGAAAGGAGTGGTGAGAGGAGGCATCTTTGCCTTGTACCCGATCTTAGTGGGAAAGCTTTGAGTTTCTCACCATTAAGTATGATGTTAGCTGTAGGTTTGTTGTAAAACAGCCTTTCTCCAGTTGAGGATGTTCCCCTCCATTTCAAGTTTACGAAGTATTTTTTTTTAATCATAAATAGGTATTGTATTTTTTTTCCAAATGGTGTTTCTGCATCTATTGATATAATTGTTATTTTTCTTATTTAACCTGTTGATGCGATGGATCACATTGATTGATTTTCAAATGTTGAACCAGCCTTGCATACTTGGGCTAAATCTCACTCGTGATTTATATAGTTCTATACATTACTAGTTTTGATTTGCTAATATCATTTTTTATAGCTGAATAATGTTTCATTGTATGGATATACCATATTTTGTTCATCCATTCATCAGCAGATGGACATTTGAGTTGTTTCCAATTTTGCTCTTATGAATAATGTTTCAGTGAGCATTTTGTGCAGGTTTTTATACGGACATAGACAGAGATTTTCAATTTTCTTGGGTATATACCTAGTGATGGAATTGCTGGATCATTTGGTAACTCAGTATTTAATTTTTTGAGGAGCTGCTAGACTGTTTACAAAATGACTGCACCATTTTACAATCCAACCAGCAATGTATAAGAGTTCCAATTTCTTTCCATCCTTGTAAACATTTGTTATTATCAACCTTTTTTATTACAGCTATCCTAGTTTGAAGTGGTATCTCATTGTAGTTTTGATTTGCATTTCCCTAATGACTGATGGTTAAGCATTTTTTCACTGTCTTGATAGTATTCTTTAAATCAAAAGGTTTATCCTATATAATAAAGAGATAATATGCAAATTGCCCGCACACCCTCACACAAGATGGCCGTGCCCATGTGATCACAAGATGGCCGCCACAAGACGGCCGGCAGGGGAGGGAAGTTGGGGGCGATCGGGCCAGCAGGGGAGCAGTTAGGCGTCAATCAAGCCGGCAGGGGAGTGGTTAGGGGGTGACCAGGCTGGCAGGCAGAAGCAGTTAGGGACAATCAGGCAGGTAGGCAGGCAAGTGGTTGGAAGCCAGCAGTCCTGGATTGTGAGAGGGATGTCCCAGATTGGAGAGGGTGCAGGCTGGGCTGAGGGACACCCCCCTCCCCACCAGTGCATGAATTCTGTGCACCGGGCCTCTAGTTTTTTATAATGTCTAATTTATTTTCTTTTTTGTGCTCATGCTTCTGGTGTTCAGTCTCAGATATCATTGCCTAACCCATGATCATAAAGATTTACCCCTATGTTTTCTTATAAGAAATGTATAGTTGTGGTTCTCACATTTAGATTAACAATCCATTTTAAGACAATTTTTGTATATGAAAAGACTTTTTTCCCCATTGAATTGTTCTAATTGGATTTGGGGTTCAACTAAGCTTGCATTCCTGGGAAAAATCCCACTTGGTGGTTTATAATCCTTTTTATATGCTGCTGGACTTGGTTTGCTAGTGTTTTACTGAAAATTTTTGTATTTGTATTGATAAGAAATATTGATCTATAGTTTTCCTGAAGTATGTTTATTTGATTTTAGTATCAGATACCAAAACTAGACAAAGATATTGGTATCTGGTCTCAATAGAATAAGTTGGAAAGCCTCCTCTCTTACATTTTTTGTAAGAGTGGGAAATTTTTTTTATTACTAACTGGATCTTTTTACTTGTTATAAGTCTATTCAGATTTTTTATTTCTTGAGTTGGTTTTGGTAGTTTGTGTCTTTCCAGGAATTTGTCCATTTCACCTAGGTTTTGTAATTTGTTGGCATATAATTATTCATAGTATTTGTCTTTTTTATTTCTTTAATGTTGGTAGCAATATAACCCCCAGAGGAAGGAATTATCACAGAATCTTGAAATTAATAAAATCAAAGGTAAAGATATGTAAACTATTATAATTATGAATTTTTAATACGTATAAACTAGAAATCCTTCCGTTCTCACTTCTGGAAAGAAAGAAAAGAGGCACAAAGACAGAACCAACACATTTCTAGTTAAAATACATGAAAGTCAGTTCAACTGAAATAAGAAACAAGAAAGAATTCCTGGCTAAACTTACATATTCTAAGTGTACCATTTAGCACAAACTCAATATTCTAAGCCAACTATAGTCATATGAACACAGACATAAGCATGCACTATAATAAACTCAGTATGACAAATTCCTAAGGCATTAACATTGTCAGAATTCTGTATACTATGCTTTCTGAAATCATAGCACACATATTAATACATCTATTAATAGCCACATAGTTTTTACATACCCTATGACCAAAAACCAGCTTTCCTGAAAGTCACAAAAAGTGTTCAGATCTCCATAAAAGATTCATAAGTATACATTTTTCAAAATCTCCTTGTAAAATGAATTTATAAAAACTAAGAGGAAAAACTGTATATAGTCTTTCTTTCAATGAAACTATTTCTAAGGAAGCTTTCTTTAAAGAACCTGGGCTAATGGTTATGTGGACTTTTCTAAAACAATATTCAACTACATAAAGAATATGACAAGCTTTCAAGCTATACTGATACCACTCTGATACATTCAGGAGTAAACTGTGCTCATGTTATAACTATACACCTGACTGGCACTATAGTTTACACACTTACACCTTCTTGATTTTAGTTGATTTTTAGGAGGAAAAATCCATGAAGTAAGTAGGTCAGATGGTGTAACATCTTTATCATCCCATTACAGAACAAACAAAACTGAAGTTTCCACAGAACAGATGACTCACCCAAGGTCACACAGCTCCTAAGTGTTGAAGCTGGGACCGGGAAATTCAGTCTGCTGACTCCCAATCACACACCTTCTCTGTGTGACACTGCTTCCCACTCACCAAAAACAGGAGGCAAAAACTTAGACTGCAAAGTGTGTGTCAGGAGGAAGTCTCTACCAACTCCCCTAAACGTTTTCATTGAAAGCATGTTGATTTTTGAATGTCTATGAATCACTCTCCTTATCTAACTTTTTTAGCAACTTGACTAAAAGCATGTTCTTAACCATCTTAGAATGATAATGAGTCTTCAGTGACCTGCAACCTAACTGTAGATTTCAAAGACATGTTAAATAACCTTTAAAACTTAGTCTTTAGAGCTTAGAGTTACAAGACACTGTTAAAATATGAAACAACCCTGGGAAGTGCTCTTTTAAATAATTCTGAAGCCAAATTAGCACATGTGTCACTAAATGGTCTACACAACATTGACTAAAAAAACCTCATTCTTCTGGCTCTGTAGATAGCTAGTTATTAGTGATCAGAGGTAATTAACACCATTGACCATTAACTAAATGTTTATTTTCTCTATAGATAAGAGAGCTGGGAATATGCCATTTGTCTGTGGAACAATAACGTTGTTCCAATACAGACCAAACCATTAACCAGAATCTAACTCATGGCCTATGAGCACTGCAGTATGCAAAGGACAAAGTTCCGATTCCTCTGGCACAGAAGCCGAAGTGCAAATACCTTCTTTATCTGCACTTTCTCCTTGGAGAACCCAACATTTACTTATAATCTAAGAAGTCTAAGAGTCAGTGTGAGTTTAGAGAACATATCCTAAGTAGTCACACACCCATGAATTACAAAGGAGATTGCTGTCATAAACCTACCCTCTAGCTTAGTGACCAATGGACTTTAGTCCAAAATGCTATTGTCCTATTGGGCATTTACTAGTACAATCATTGGGGTAAAGGTGGGGAAAAGATCTGACGAAGCTCTGGGGGAAAGGGAGTTGATGTAAGTCTTTGCTGCTCCCCCACATCCAAGCGAGTGAGATGAGAAATTTGAAATAATCTGCAACTTGCCCAGAGATTTCCTGGGAGGCTCTGAAGAAGGAAAAGGAACAGTTGTTTCCCTGGTGCCTTGGCCTTGGCTGTGGTAGTAACTTTTTCTCAATTCTGCTTGATAATTTACAAAAAATAGGTAGTTCTTCTCCGTTACCCTCCTACCAACAAGAGTGCAGATGAGTTACTAAAAGTATAGTACCCCAAAGCTTATCTGCAAGAGAAGGTACACAAATAGGCCAAGTCTGGATCTCACCTTTTGGCTTCCTCTAGGTGGCACAAATATTCATAAGCGATGTTCTGCCGCCGCCTCTCATCCATCTCCTCTGCAGAGAGCCTTTCGTCATCCACAATAGCTGGAAACAGAGGAAAACACTGCATTACTGTCAGGACAGTGTTCATCAGCTAAACACCTGAGACAATCAACTAGAAAACTCACATGCAGTTCAACATTGAACAGTGAGACACGGGGTACTGTAATGCCAAGCATAGAAACAAATTTGCTTTGAGTTTTACAATATTATATTATCTCTAACAACAACAACAACAAAAAGCAATACTAAAGTACAGGTTGAAACTACTAAGTAACAGAATGCGAACAGCTATCAGATTTCACAAACATGATGCCATAGGAGTTAGACAACCTCAAATCAATTAGACCATGGTCTACTTAAAACAACTCCCATTCACAAGCTTGTGGAATTGGTCCAGTGGCTCAGCTGGGACCATCCTGAAGATTCTATTATTGAACAAAGAATCTACAAAGACCTGTGTTTTCCCACTCCTAGAAGGAATTAAGGCTTCGCCTCCAACCCAAATCCTATTTTACAGATGCCAAAAGCTCTAAAATTTCTCCCTCACTTATTTCTCAGCCTTTCTGAGACTAACCTTCCTGGTCAACAGCTATCCAGAAGCAAAAAGCAATGGATACAGCAAGTGAAGAGAATTTTCAATCCCACCCTCTTTATTCCAACACAAGCCTAGTATATAAACGTCCATGCTGCAGCTTTGCTTTTCTGTAGAGAAGGCAGCCTCCCCGTTTTCTGACTGCACTTCCTCCGGCCACGAGCTCAACAGCACCCACCGCAGCCAATGGCCACATCAGTGAGCCCCGCTGTCTCTTTACATGGCAATGCTCCTTCCTCATAAACAGGACCCCTTTCTCTCTTCAACCCTCGACTTTAATTCTGATGGCTATGAAATGAATTTGGTTCCTTGTTTGTCAGATTACTCATCTGAGGAAGACAATGTGTGTGTATAGCAGGACGATCATATGGGGTAGGAATGTCAGTGTTTGCTTTTGTGTTCCCTAGCTGCTAGCTCCAGTCACCCATTTTCATAAATGGACTCCTGGTCCCAAGCAGAAGAGATAAGAATGCGAAGGTCACCCATAATTTCCACCCATGTGGCTCCATTCCTGTAAACAGGGAGACCTCCTCCCAGCCCAATGATAACAATACAAATATTTGTATTTGTCAAAAGCAACTTCTTTTTCTTAATAAACTGAATCTGACTTAATTTTAGAAGAGAGCGCTCAGGTTTAGGAAAAGTATAAAAGCTCTCAAACAACCCTCCTTCGCCCCTCCCCTGCAAAATTCCAGCCTCCTCTCCCCTGAACTCGATTTCAACAACCCTCAGGTAGCCTTTCAGGCACACCCCCTCCTCTACCCATTCTCCCCAGGGCCACCAGAAACATCTAATACATAGTCCAAGGGATGCTACTCTCTGTCTCGAACCTTCAATGGAGCCCCATTTCGTACAGAACAAAGTTCTAGAACACTTTCCCTCTCCACCCCTACACAAAGCTGACATTTAAGCCACCCCTTCCAAGCAGTGCCATGCTTCAGGGCCACACCACAACCTTTCAGGTTTGAGTGCGCTTGCTCTCCACCCTGTCTCTGCCTGGAAAGCCACTGTCCCACCTTCTATGCGTGACATCTTCGACATCTTCTCAAGCATCTTGGAGGATCTCAAAGTCAAAATCCATCCACTCTCCCGAGCACTTTGGTTCGTATTTTTATTACATCACTCATCACAAAAGCCCCCACTGTAACTGTCAGGTCTGCCTGTCCAAAGTGGGGAATCCTTAGAGGAAAGGATTCTTTCTGATTCACCTTGACATCTCTCTCACATCAATCATGGTTCCTTGCACACAGAGCACACAAATATTTGCTGAAAAACTATGTTCCAGTGAATCCTCACTACATGAGTTAACCGTCACCCTCTAACGCAGCGGTTCTCAACCTGTGGGTCGCGACCCCTTTGGCGGTCGAATGGCCTTTTCACAGGGGTCGCCTAAGACCATCCTGCATATCAGATATTTACATTACGATTCGTAACAGTAGCAACATTACAGTTATGAAGTAGCATCAAAAATAATTTTATGGTTGGGTCACAACATGAGGAACTGTATTTAAAGGGCCAGAAGGTTGAGAACCACTGCTAATGAGTATACTTTGCAAATTATGATTTTTCTCATCCTGTGTTTTCTCAGAAGATACCTCACCTTGCATGCCCACATAGTATCACCTAATCCTCCATCTCCACTGTTCCTAATGGTTAATCCCCAGGATTTCCAGTTTCTCATTTTAATTTCAGTCTAAATCTGTCTCTCGTTTTTAACAGGGTATTTTCATTTTATAGTACCTTCTGACACATCGAAGTTTGGAAATAATAAAAAACTCTTAGTGGGACTCCATGTGCTCAGTCTATTCTCCCCAACTGTTAAGTGGGGGCCAACGGAGGCAGTCTCACTGCCACCTTCCCTCTTAGCTGCTGCTCCTTCCAGCCTTAGCCAACCCACCTTAGGAGGCAGAAGCCCTAGCAGCACTCAGTCCCTAGGCCTCTGCTCCCGATTTTAAGATTCCACAAACCTGTGCAAGATTCTACTAGCCCAGGAGAGCACTGAGGGGGCTCTCAAACTCTGACATCACCCTGTCCAATGAGAAGATCTGACTTAATGTTTTAATTAAAACATCCACAAAACCTTACATTGCAATTGCAATATACTGACCATTCAGCTGACAGAATTCTACCTATGTTTAACACTCAACTCAAGGGTCACTTCCTTCCCTGTCTTTCCTCATTGTTCCTGCTCAAAATGCCCTCCCTCCTGGCACCTCCTGCATTGCCTGTTTAATAGTAAACTCCTAGAAAACAAATTTGTGTCCTCACGGTGTCCAGCACAGGCTACATGCTCCATAAAAGTATTTAATGACCAAACAATGCCTTATTATGAAAGATTAATAAAAGGGCTCTAAAGTATCTATGTGGGGAAGTTTTAATTGCCTATTTACACTGAATAAAATAAGGGTGTGGTCACTGACAGCAAATATAGTACCATTACACAGACTTCACTTAACTAATGTTTAATTCATAGATTCTATGGACTAGGCATGAGTGACAGCACGAGGGATAGGCCAGTGAACCAACAAACAAAACATGTTTGCCCTCATGCCCCCCCCCCTTCCTTCCCTTCTGATCTGGTCCACTGGATCACATACCTGGCCCACTGTCCTTCCAACCACACACGTTAGCCTCACCTTCCTTCATTCGTGACCTATTGTCAAAGTGGAGGCCAAGGTTATGAGTTTGAGAAAGTCTTAATCATAGCAAAAACAGCTCCTTCTGAGCCACAGAGGTTGCCTGCAAATATTTCTGCATTACTCAAGAGTTACTAAGCAGTAACTTCTGATAAGAGCCACAGGCATGGATAATAACCCTGCCATTTAAAGGGCCATCATGGAGCCGATAAAGGAATTCACTTAAGCATGACTTTACCATCTATAAAGCACTTTTCCATGTTATTGTGTAGTTCTCATAATCACCCTGAGAGATAGGCATTATCTCTTTCTTACAAATGGGGAAACTGGGGTCATGCAAGGGAAAGGGACCGCCTGTGGTCATTTGCTGGGTCAACGGCAGAGCACGGGCTGGGATGAAAGTCCCTCCGCCCCGCTGCCCCGGCTTTGCCCAGTACCATGCTACTGCCAGATCTGAGTGAGCCGGGGAATGTGCTCCTCAAGGCCAAACCTAAGGTCAGATCATTTAAGTGCCTTCAGAATTGTTTTTATTTTAAAGCAACTTAATTAGCTGCAATTTCGTCTCAAATTTCATGTTTATTGGCTGCTCTGAATCCTAAGAAACATGAGGACATTGTGAAGAACACAACTTCCTGAAGTATTATCAACTCACAAAATGTCATTTGTAATGTTAGCTAATGTTGGCTAAAAGATGGTATTTTAAAGCAATAACTTTCTTTTTTTAAATGTATTTTTATTGATTCCAGAGAGGAAGGAAGAGGGAGAGAGAGATAGAAACATTGACGATGGGAGAGAATCATTGATGGGCTGCTTCCTGCACACCCCCTACTAGGGATAGAGCCCACAACCCGGGCATGTGCCCTTGATAGGAATCAAACCTGGGACACTCTATCCACTGAGCCAAACCAGCCAGGGCACAATAACTTTCCATGGAAATCACAATATAGGGATTACACAAAGTTTAAGAAGCAGAATGAGAGTGAGTTGGTAGAGAAGGTACTGAAATAGAATTATATAAGTTAGAGACCGAAGGAACATTAAGAAGTCCATCTCCCAAAGAACACCCACAAAATCCAGTGTACCTCATTCATTAAGGAGTTGGCATGGTTATTTGTTAATTTCAGCTATTCTATTTGTTCCCTTCACACACAGAGAAACCAAGGCCACCACGGCCTTTGCATTAAAATTCATTTGTTTGTTCAACAAATATTTCAGTGGCTGCTTTGTGCTAATCTGTTCTAGGGCCTGAACACAAAGTGATAGAAATGACACACCAGGTCCCTCATGAAGTTTTTTAAAATTATAAACAATGGAGAGTTTGACATAATTACAGGAGGCTTCGGTAGGTGGGGATATAATGGAGGGAGAGTCAGCAAGAATCACAAAAACTAGGGTTGGGAATCTCTGTTTCATGAAACAGTATTATTTAAGGCATGTCCCTTTAAGGAAAAGCAGATTAGGAATATGATATGAATCACTAATTTATGGAAACATGCCACAATTTAGCATTTTATGTACACACTATTCTTTTGTGTGACTCAAAATTTCTGTAAGGAACCCTGAATATCCTCGGGTATGTAATTCAATTCAAACGTGTATTGAACCATTTGAGAGTTGGGAACAGCTTTTACCTGGGAAAAAATATCTAAATGAAAATCTCCCCTCTCAGTACTTAAAAAATGGCTACCGGAGATGGCATGTATATCCCAAAGGAGGCACTAAAAGGAAAAAAACCTGATTCCAAGGCCCTAAAACTGGAGCAGGAGAGGGGACTGGAATATAACAATGAGAGAATCCAAAGTCCAAAATTTCCA